TGGAAGTTCCAAGAAAAAAGAAGCGAAGATACTCTCAAAATAATATCGGTGTTTATGAGGCAGAGAGACTTATTGCGAGAAGGAGAAATGGACAGGTAAGATGTTTGTATGTTTTGTAGATCGTAAACTTATATACCATATGGTCTTATTGTTKTKGTTKTTTTWTWWAACAAATCAATTCACTTTACAGGAGTTTATGTTTCTGGTGAAGTGGAAAAGCTACAGCTCTTTTGAAAACACATGGGAGCCGGAGGACCATATTTCTAAACCACTGCTGGATTATTTTAACAACCCTAAACCATCACAAGAACTTATCCAAGAACATTTAGATGTGTTAAGAAGCTCTCTTATCTCAGCACTAAAAGGAAAAGCTGTTGTGCAAACTGTAACCCTTAATTTCCGTCACGATGTCTTCAAATGTCTATTTMATGCTAAAAGGAAAGACTTAGTCTATGGAAAATGGCTTCTATATGATTTAGATGATTTWAAAAAATGCAAATTTCCCCAGGAATGGTACAGTATGTATGATATTCATGGTGATGGATCAAAGGTCCMTTTTCCTGTGAAAATGAGATATTTTCTGGGCAAAACACCCAAAACACACTACTGTGATAAGAATGGGAATGTGCAAGAGTGTTCTCCTTTGTATATTGAGAAGGTCAGTGTAAAATTTGCAAGGGTTCCAGGTACATGTATTAAATAGATAGGTGTTTTACAAATTAAATGTGATATGTCTGAACTTTGATTTAGCACTGAATTGTTGTTTAKGTATCATGAGGGTGAACTCAACTGTCCAATTTTTCCAGCTCTTCAATTAACCTTGCTTTCTTCAATTTGTCAATACCTTTCATGCGGATATTGTTGTCATGGCATTTCCTCTTTAAAAGCTTTTTAAGTTGAGAAACAGATTGTTTATTATAATTGTCCTCACTTTGCTGTTGGGTAGGAGCTGGGATTGGGCAGCTAGTACTTTCCATATCTGGGTTGTCTTTTTTCCTTTTTTCAGCACGCTTCTCTCTGATTTCTGAGCCCCAGTACTCTAGATTTGTTTTTCTGTAATTCTGTTTGACTCTTTCATGTTTTCTGAGTGTATGCTGGCGTTCTTCTAACAAAAGAATGTCTCTTGTTCCATCCCATTTGTTAGACTTATGAAAA